TAGATACTAGGATACTATGTCTAGTAGTGTGACAAAATCATTTTAACATACGCTACTCCAAATTCTAAATGCAAATAAAAAGGAATGATGAAATATTCTTCCATGTGGAATGGATACAAATCATAATCAAATCTGAATGTATTTGGGAATTCCATTAAAATTCCATAGAATCAAACAAGAAAATCGTGCCATAAATTATGGTACAAAAGAATGAGAAATTTGGGAGCACCTTCTGCTAAAAAAAAATAACATATCTGCCAAAATCATACGACTGCCATAGTTGCTTATTCAAAAGTTCTAGAAGTGATTCTTGATTAAGAAGGAAACAGAACCACTCTGAGAGAAAGACAGACAGACATGACAGACACGACAGACAGAAAGTCAATAGTTGAACACATAAACCACCAATTTCCAGCCAAATAGTGATCTCCCACTTCCATTTCCTATTAGATGGGTTAAGAGAAAGAGGAGGTTAGCTGTTGGACTCAGCACCTAATGGCTGTGGTCAATACTTCTGGCTCTACAGTCACATTTATTGCTAGGTTTTCAGCCCTAAACATACATGCACATTCCTAAGATACATGCAATCATACTGCAAGCACCTATTTCCCCATTTCATTCATACCTATGCCTGTTATTTTCATGCAACTGATATTATTACACCAAATTTGATTTTGGAATCTGGAAAGCTTTATTTCTACAACTTTAGCACAATCTGTATCAGAGATCTTGCAAACAAGGACTGATAAAAAGAGAGGGAAGCCATGGGCAAGCATAGAAGACAGGAAGTACAAAATATCCTGGAAAAGAAACTGTGATTACTGTCTTCTGGACTATTACATCCATTCCACTCACCTGTTGCCAAAGTCATGTACAGCCAGCAAAGCTGGATGACTGTCCTCCTGAATCCATCCACAGTTGGACCTGGCATAGTCGAGAATGGCATCAGTGACACTCATAGGGCCCCGACCCTGCACATAAGCTTCAATTTCTGGCACAGAGAGTTGGCTTTGTAGGAAAAGGTGCAGCTGGCTATCTGAAAGAAGTACAACATTCTGTACCGTCCTAGAATATGAATAGAAAAATTGGAAATTCTAAGCACAAACGCTACAACAACCAGATCTTCAGAAACAACACTTTCTACTTAAGGTTTTGATACCTTTCCTGCTTATAGACAAAGTGACTCTGCAGGTGTGAAGTGAGAATCTATGGTAGAAGAAATACCCCCAAACACATCTTTATTTTTTTTTAAATCTGCTGGCAACCTTGGCCAACCTTGTTCATTTCCACTGCAATGTTTCCGTTAAGGAAGAAAAGATATGCCAACTATAGTGCTAGCATATAATTCTTCTTGTACTGAAGGAAATAACTTTTTGTAGCAAATCTATGGCTTTCTTCATCCACTCTGGCATACCTTTCCCCACTGTTAAGAGTCCTAATAGTAGAATTGCTGTGGCATCAAAGCTTTCTGCCACTGTAATGGGAATATTGTTAATTATTGATTTGTTCCTGCAGCTGCAGAAGGGGAGATCAATATAACTTCTAGGAAATTCATAGGAAGCTTGCTAGGACCATTGAAATGTACCTGAGATCGGTCTTTTTTTTTTTTTTTTTTTGTATATGTCTTACTTGCAGTTTTTCCTTTTTTGATAAGCTGTGGGTTTTCCAAGATTTTCTACCTATATGTCAACTTTTTCTTGTCATATTTTTGATTTTGCTTTTTAAAATTAAGCTATAAGTTTAGTTATTCACAGTAACTGAAACTATCTTGATTATATTATCATTTGCCCACCATTATAAACTTGATGATAAATTCTAATCAAGTGGGATCCAGAAAATCTTCTGTCTCCAATAATAATCCTGTTCCCCAGTTTCCACTCACTTCTCCAAGAACTGTTGCAATCCTTGTCTTCGTTTCTCAATGAATTCATCATTATTGCCTGTGAAGAAAGTAGATTTCCCTGGAAGTTCTGGGACAGGCCTAGAGGATATGAGGGAGAGGTTTACATATATATAAAAATATACCCCTCCTTGAGAATGCATCTGCAATAAAAAGTAATTAGCAATCGTCTGCTACTCCATGAGCTTGTTCTTTTGCTACACCATGAGCTTATTCTTCACTAAAATAGGTGTTACCATTCTATTAAAAGCCTATTCCCATCAAGGTTTGGAGCCTACAGTGAAGCTAATTTAATTCAGCAGCAATGCTGATGAAGAAGAATGCATCTTCTGCAAGAGTTGGACTTCTGGATCATTAATAGCTCGTTCTGCAAAAATCTAAACCCTCTGTAAGCTCAAGCAATACCTTCAAACAGTATTATACTATATCCACATATTGGATTTATGAAAAGATTTTTGGAGATGGTTCCAAGATGATAGGTCAAGGTTAGGGGTCTTCTCCCCTAAAAGTTTATAAATTGCATTTTGCAAAAAATCAACAAGCTCATTAAGCTTTCTTGGAAATGCATAAAATGAAAAGTAAAATATTAAATATAAAACCATCAATATCTTCTGGTATTGCCAATAGTCCTCCATGAAAGACCTGAATTTATTAAATTTTGACCTCAGAAATTGACTTTAAGTCTGTCTATATGCAGATCATATTCTCTGACAATGAGCTATGAGCTATTCAGCTTTAATACATTATTATATATTATAGTTCAAACATATTTTCAACATTGACATTTCTAAGGTAAATTTTAAAGTGTCACTTAGGGTTAGTACTGGTGCAGAAAATAATATTCGTTTATCATTGAAATATTTCCAAATGATGTGCAAATGTCCTTTGATGGTGGAGGCCACTATTAAAAAAAACACGATCTCACACTTACACCAAGCCAGCATTTTTTTGCAGCTGTTTCTTTAACCACACAAACTCACGATATCGTCTGCGCACACAAGATGTCTTGGCTGTGAAAGCTTTACTATTGGTCTGTAGAATAAGAAAGATTGTGGTTGATACAAGGTTTATTCCACCTGTTTTTTTCACTCTTTCTAAACTGTCTCCCTCTGCTGGCTGCTGTGTTAATAGAGAATTGCTATGATAAACAGCTTTTATCATAGCATTTTTTTTGTTTTAAGTGAACTTTGATTAAAAGTCATTTTAAAAAAATCATTTGATTTTCTTTTTTAATTGATTTTTATTGAAGAATTTTATGGAGTAATAAAAGGAGAACAAATTTAAGAAAAAAGAGAAAAGAAAACTGGTGAATAAAAAAAAGTATAAAGTACCTTTCAATCTTCTTTATATCAGTCACAAAAATATGCATTGCCTGTCTTCCTCTCTAAAGTTTCATCATGATTCTGTTCTTGTCATGTTTTATTCTTTCTATTTAATTTGATTTTCAAAGAGTTTCATACCATGCAATGTAAAAAGTGGGCAAAAAAAAAAGGATTAAATTCGGTTGCAATTTCTAATAATAATTGAAGGATGGGTGCATGAAACCAAAGTTCTGTTTATTCCAGTCCGTCAGATGCTGCAGGGAAGTTCATATTTGGAACATAACAATGCAGGTAGTCCTTGACTTACAACCATTCGTTTATTAATCATTCAAAGTTACAGTGGCACTAAAAATAGTGACTTTTGACTATTTTTCACACTTATGACATAACCATGATCATGCAATCAAAATTCAGATGATTGGCATGTATTTGTGATGGTTGCAATGTCACAGGTTCATGTGATCACCATTTGTAACCTTCTGACAAGCAAAGTCAATGGGGAAGGCAAGATTCATTTAACAACCATGTTACCAATTTAACTGCAGTGATTCACTTAACAATTTGACAGGAAAGGTCATAAAATGAGGCAAAACTTACTTAACAACTCGTCTTGCTTAGCAACAGAAATTGTGGGCTCAATTATGGTTGTAAATCCAGAATTACGTGTATTGCCTCCCATTCGTCTTTTTTAACTGCATGAGGGACTAATAGTCCAATCCCTGTTTCTGCCCCTAAGGCCAGCCAGCTTCTCTGTCCACAATTGAAACTATGCATATTGATTCCTCTTCCTTCAAAGCTCATTTAGAAGGCAATGGGGCACTCTGCATCAAGCCCCATTCCCCGTTTCATGGTTCCTACTAACCCTCAGGACCACATTGCTGAAAATTAGCTGTTAAATAACAATAGCAATAGCACTTAGACTTATATACCACTTCACAGTGCTTTACAGCTTTCTCTTAGCATTTACAGAGTCAGCATATTGCCCCCCAAAATCTGGCTCTTCATTTTACCAACCTCGGAAGGATAGAAGCCTGAGTCAATCTTAAGTCTGGAATGCTCTACCTGATTCAATTGTCTCAGCTACAAATTTTCAGTTTTAGTCACAAATTGACTTCTGTGGACCTCCCTTCATATTTAAGAGGTCCATAAAGGGGGCATGTGCTGTCCCAGCCAGTCTATGGGATAGTTACTTAGGAATTGTGAGCTGTTCCCTTAAGGGACTACATCATGGGAAATGTAGTTCATCTCACGTGTCTACATCTGTAGTCTTGATTGATCACTGAGTTGACCCTTGGTGGGTTGAGGGAGTTTTCCTCATTCTTTGTCTGAACTCTCTACCTCATGGCATCTTCTTTCTATCGCTACAAGATGGGTTAGGAGATAACCATCTTTCACGTACAAGGCAGATATACAAAGGATTGGTCATTAAAGAAGAACTTCATCATAAATGTGAGTTATGAAGATACCTGATGTACCAATAAATGAACTTTGTTATAGAAGCTTTGTTGAGTTATCTATCTGCTTCTGCACAGCTATAAATCTAGCTCTGTGGAAGAAACAGAACAGGGTATGCATAAGTGCACTAACATGCCTGACATTTTATTTTTATGTTATTCATGTTTTTTTTTTGACAAATTATAAATAAATAAAATAAAATAAGTCAGTCAGGATTGAAGGAATTGAACTCAGGGCAATGTAAGCCGAGTTAGCCTGCAATACTGTATTCTAACCACTGCACCAGTAGTTCACACATCCAAAAAATGCCACCCCAAAAAACAGTTTTATGATTTTCAGTGGAAACCAGGGAAAAAGTTGCAGTATACCTCAGGTAGTCATATCATGTCTACAAAGGGTGTAGGGTGGAAAAAGAAATGGGTCAAAAATGGCTGTCTCCCCGGCCTCAGCAACTTTAAGTTGTGTGATCTTCAACTCCCAGAACTCTTTCTCTTCTGGGAGCTGAAGTCCACACATCTTAAAAGTTGCTCTAAAGCAGGGGTGTCAAACTCGCGGCCCATGGCCCCAATGCGTCATGCACTGGCCAAGGTCACCCCCATTTTAGCGAAGGGGTAAAAGTCACAATACATCATGTGACAATGTGACAACGTGAGTTTAACACCCCTGCTCTAAAAAGAAGAAATTTTCCCATGCTTGTAAAGTACAACAGTTTGCAGAAGGAAAGAATAATGGGAAATTCCCATTCTTTTTTGCTTCTTATGCACTAAGTAAGTCACAAGTAATATCATGACTTTTCCACAGAAGTAAAAAAGCAAGCATAAGTTTCTTTTCCATATCAATAGTAGCTGTTTGTTTCATATTTGGTACTTTGCAAAGCACGCAAAAATAGTTTTTCATCAAGGGGAGAAGTAACCTAGAACTAAAGGAGAAATTTTCTAACAATGAGAACAATTAACCAGTAGAACAGCTTGCCTTCAAAAGTTGTAAGACCTCTATCCCTGGAGACTTTTTGGTTAGCTACTTGTGTGGATTGGTATGGGTCTCCTGCTTGTGCAAAGGGTTGGACTAGAAGGCCTCAAAAGGTTTCTTCCAGCTCTGTTATTCTGTCTACTGCTGTTTTTTCCAGTAACTTTCTATACTTACATGGAGAAATATTTTGTAGTCCACATAAGAATTCCATGAGCCCTCATTATGTATTCGAGGATCTTGGACACGCACAGTAGTCAGCTCCTGGGTTCAGATCCAGAGGAAAAAAATATATCTTTAGCGTCCACTTATTTTGCAACACTTCTCTAACTATTAGGGCCTAAACCAGATTTTCCCCTTTTTCAGCCAAAAGAATTGAATGCATAAACAGAAGCTCATTATGATTGTACAAAAGCTTTACTATATTAAGATCAAAAGGCTGTAAAGAGACTCAGGCAGATTTATTCCATGGGTCTCAAGCATGGGAAAAAAGAAATATATACAAAGTCTAATAACTATTTGATAAACATGATTATGCTTTTCCAATAGTTATTATGGGAAATCTATGACTTTCCGGGTGTCATTAGGACTTCAAACCCATTCTATCCCAGGCCAATGATCAGAGAGAATGAATATTTACAGGGTCACATCTAGCCTAATTAAACTTATGCAAGCTAAAGGCAGCTAACCACAAGTTATTACATAAAGATTAAGTTCTTGAATCTTAAACATACATGCCCAGTACTATAACTGGGTGGCCCACCATCTTATTACAGAGGTCTGCAATTATGTCTATTTTTATTATCAATTCAGAATATAAATACTAATGTTATTATGTCCCTGCTTCACTTCAATTTGGAAGAATTGAGGACCAAGGAAAGCAGGATTTGATCTATTGCCTCAGGGATAAAACAGAAGAATAATGCAATGTTCAGACCAGCCATCACCAAACTTGTACGCTTCAGAACTACAACCCTCAAAATGCTCAGCCACCTTCTGAAAGTTGCAGGTCAAACACATATAAAGGATGAGTGAATAAGGAAAGCTTGGCTAACCTACACAAAGCATAGCTTGTTCAACTATATTTGTTTTGGATATTCAAAATATAGGATGAAGCTGAGTTATGGGCACCTGAGAGAAATCCTTACATAAATTTATGTCCTTGTGTCTGTGGTAAAAAGACAGCCAAAGAGATATAAATACGTGCTATAGGGATGGTAGGCAGGCTAAACAACATGTCTTGTTCAAAATATCTCACCATGATCTCATGTATACTTAGGTACTTTTTCTCCAGGGCATTTGTATGATTCAGCTTTCTGCCACGCACATGATGTAGGTGTGGGTGGGAGGAGCTTTTATAGATTCTGACTTACGCTATAGATTCTGAAACTTTTCTATGGCCCTGCACATACGTTTTTTTTATTCCAAATTACTTGTTTTAAGCACGAACATACAGTAGGAAGCAATGCTTGGAAACAAAGCGTCCTCACATTTTGGAGTAACCTATGTCAATATTGCTTTAGCTTCTATTCTTTCACTATATTCAGTCAAACTTGGAGGCTGTTAAAAACTATTTTCCTTCTTGAAAGCTGACTGCAGATCTTTTCAGAAGGGGTGAAATAGAAAATTGTGCATACAGTCATGCCTGCTAATGCCAATGATCTTACTTCTTGTTCTTGATATTCCAACATCCTACTTTCAGAACTTAGAGGGAAACATCTGTAAAAAAGGGGGGGGCATACAATTAATACCAGAGCATTAATTATCTATGAACTATCTGCATTTCATCAATCCATTTACTAAATAAAAATCAGATCCTGTTCTGGAGATGGAATAATGGGGAGTAAATGGAAAAAGTTAGTTTCTAGAATAGAAGAACAAAACTATATTCATATTATACTCCAAAGCTGTCCACTAAAGAGTCATCTTACCTGCTTTTACTGAACCAAGGACAGGGACAAGGGAATTTCACTTTGGGCTTTTAAAAAAATTTAATTTTTACTGTTTTAAAAAAACAAGAATAGTTATAATGCAAATACTTACACAACTACATATAAAAATGTGCTTAATAACATGTAGCAATTAATATTTACAATTTTACATATACTTATATAAAATGTAAGTATTATTCAAGTACACATAATTTTTTAATACATTTGTATAACCAACATTTTCTAACTTACTGTATTTTGTACAAATGAATTCCATATTTCATTATAACTAACCCTAGAAGTCTATGTCTATCTGCAATCCATTCCCATTGGGTGAATGGGGCCAAACTTGGATTTGGTAAATATAAATTTCTTTTGGCAAATCAGAAGAAAACTGCCTGGCCAGTTATGAACCAGGCAGAGAAAACCTGTGCCAATTCAGAGGCTGCTGAGTCACAACTTCTAGTATTCTTTACCCTTGGCCAACTTGACTAGATCTAGTGAAAACTGCAATCACAAACATTCAGAGGACCACAATCTTCCTCTTATGTTCTAAAATAATTTTTTTCTTTTATATTCACTCCATTTTTGTTACATTTCTTTCTTTTTTATAGTGACTGGAAAGCCAGACAGCAATGCCTGCATCTAATTTCTTGCTATTTTGAAAGACAACAAAGCACTGAAGAACCTATTAAGTTACAGAGATAAGATAAGTGAAGTGATAAGCCCTAAGATAGATGCCTGGTATATTTCAAGCTAAATTAGGAAGAAGGGAGGGGGAGTTGGGGGTGGAAGAGAGAGGAAACAATGCTATTGGGATAACCTACAGTGTCCTGCAAAAAGAAAATATTGGTTTCAATCTGAGTAACTTAATTCAATCTCGCAATGCCAAGATTTTTTTCATGACAGAATTTGATAGAGCCCAAGACTAAATTGTACAGCCTCCATAAACTCAGTTCTCCAGAAACAGATTCAGTCTCAACATCTTAATGCTTTCATTTCCAGAGACCAAGAAGAATGCAATCACTTGTTCTACTTGATAGAACAAGGAGTTTGTTATGGAGACATCTTCCAATGCAAGCAAATGCCAACATGTATTCCTTACATTTTTTTTTCACATCCAATTTAAAAGATCACAGAAGTACACACAAATCCTAACCCTCATTTCTTCAGCCACACAAATAAGCAAGCAAAACATAAAGCTGGCTAAATTAAGCTTAACAGAATTTGCTTAATTTCTGTTATTCTGGCATTTAAGGGGACAAGGAATAGGGTGGACAGGTAGCAGACCCAGTGATTCATGACTTTATGACTCTAAAAAAGTAAATAAAAGGATTATGCTTGGCTTCAATGCATCATCCCTAGCAACCTTGCCTTGGGATTCTTAGCACAAAGTCCCAGAAAACTACTATTAAGTCATCATCTCGATTAGCAGTGCCTTTGCCTACTTTCTGACATATTCAGATTTTGTCTTTAATCCCTGGATGTTCAACATACATGCACTGTTGGTGCTAACCCTCCTTCTTTCTACTGAAATTCAACTGCAACCACATCTAGTTTTAAGCTATTCATCCACAAGAGTAAAGTGAGAAAATCATACCACAAGAGTGCTGCAGCAGGTAAAAATTGCTTCCTTTTGGTTAATATCCTACATGGTGGAAGTAGCCGCATTTGGAACCTGTTTCCCTGTGATCCTGAAAAATATAATATAATAAACCCCAATGCTATTAGATTTCATGGGAGATTTAACACTAATGTGTTTTCTTACCATTTGATCTGGGGGGAAAACACATTCAAAAAGGATTATAGATGTCACTATATTATATGTGCCTGAAGAACATAAAGATAGAGCTGGATTCAGGAGGTTTTTTGGGGGGTGGGTGGGATTTGGATTAGGCAAAATGGCTTGCATGGGCCTTCTCCCCTTATTGCTGCTGTCATCACTACCCATTCACTTGCCCTTCTTCACCGTTCTAGATGGGGAAAATGAGCAGGAGTTGTTATTTTTTGCTTCTATCAGTATTTTCTTCCTTAAAATAAATAAAGAGGAATAACAAAGAGATTCCAAATTTAGTAGTAGTGCTATTGAGCATTAAAGTGATTCCAAGCCCTCATATTAGGATTATACAGAAGCCATTTTCAGTCATCACTATCTAGATACATGTAGATCTCAACTGGCCACTAAACAGTACCTTTTGACACTATTTGGAAACATAGGTCATTAGTTATTATTGAACTGCGGAAAACATTTCTAAAGAGGTTGTGCAAATTGCCTGGAAAATCTGATTGATCAAAATAGGGGTAGGCTGATAGGAGCCCTTCGTAGGTTTTGAACACCCATAGCCAGTCCAATCAATGCCAAGAAACCTTGCAATTTTTTTTCTACATAATAGGGAGGGCATCCATTTGCGTACTTTTGAATTAGAAAGACTCACTATACTAATGTTTTTCAAACTTAACAATTTTAAGATGCATAAACTTCAACTCCTAGAATTCTGGGAGTTGAACTTCACACATCTTAAAAGTTGTTGAGGTTGAGAAACACGGCATTGTATGTTGCTAGTGTGGTGTTCTTCATTATCCAAGTCAATATAGTTACGCAGAACAGGACTTCTGGTGTTAACTTTCTCAAGAGTCTCAATTCTTTAGCATTCCCCAGGTCAGGAAATAGTATGCTAGATTTAAATAGACAAAAAAATACTTTAAAGCCAGTAAATAGCTTCTAAGGTTAACTAAGAGGGACTTTTATTCTTCCTGCACCCTCAGTTAAGTGCAAATTAGGTTGTTCTGCCCTTCAATTAACTTGCAAAATACTTCATTATTATGCCATCTAATCTCCCAATTGGACAGTTAAGTAGGACAAACTAACCAATTTTACTTTCAAGTGTTCCCTGCCAATAAAGACAATGCTGACAGAATTGATATTATGGGGAACATGAGCTCCCCAAAATAGAGAATGAGGCACAGATATGAAGATTTAATCCTCAAGCTGCAGATATGAATTTAAACCAGCCTTCTCACAACCAATTCCCTTCTGATGTGCTGGACTTCCAGTTCACCTAATTACAGCCAGCAGCCAGTTGTCCTTCCTGGCTGGGAATTAAGAGAAGTTGCAATCCACATGTAAAGTACCAGTTTGAAAAGGCAGCATAAAGCTTGGGCTCTCAGTGCCAGACTGTTCTCTTTGCACCTGCAAATCTCCTTGCTTCAGCCATATTTTTATACTATTTTAATTATTTTATACTATTTTAATTAAAACTATATAAATTGGGTGCAAAGCCGGGCACCAGCCTCAAACGTCATTTGTTTCCAACCATGTATTGCAACCCCACACAAAACTCAGAAAATTGTTTAGATTGGTTTTTTTTTAAAAAAGAGAGAGATGGGGAAGCACAGCATTGCACAGCTCTTTACTTGAATGAGAGTATCCAAAACAATCAAGCAAAAAGGTAAGCTAAAGTAATAGAGAGAAACTTGAGAGAGAAGAATGGCTGGTGGAAAACAATCTCACCAGTTTGCCTTCTGAAAAACAGGTATTTTCTGTTTAGCCATATGCGTACCACAACAACCTTTCTGAGTGAGTCCCTGACATGCACTCAAAGCTTCAAGCACTTCCAGTGGCCTAAAACTGTGGGTTTGGCTTAAAGAAGGAGTTCTTACTTAAGGTCCACCAACCCTTTTAAGGAGGCCATGAATCTGGATGAGGAAAAAATAAAATAACACAACTTTATTTTCTGTACCCTCTCACTGAAATTTACTTTTTCATTCAAATGTTTTAAGTAGGCAACAAAATAACGTATGGACTTGAGGCTCCAAAAACATCTAACTTCAATACATCTTGCTATCTAAAATTATTATACTCTTACAATGTGCTGTCTTGTAATTGATTTAGTTAAATGTTATTATATTACATATTTGCTATTTTAATGCGTCAGTAATGGTACTTGAGCACTTAGCTTCCTTGGTAACACAATCGATCTCTTGATGTTTTTTTCTATGTGCTTAGATATATTTTTCAAAATAGGATTTCGTGTATGGCAAAAAAAAGTTTAAGAACCCCTAACTCCATTGCCTGAACCAATTTCCATCATAAGCTCTCTAAGCAGCGTAAGGAGAGAGTTTAATGCCTTTCTATATGCTCTACCAAATGTTTCAGCACAGCTGGCTCATCCCTAAATCCTACAGCAGAAGCACCTACACAAGGGAGGGGATCAAAATGCCAGGATGGTTGCTGGCACCATGCAGCTGAAACCCACCCCTTTTTATACGGATTACTGTAGTCCAGAAAGAATTTTTTTTATCATTTGTAGATTTCTAAAAACAAAAGTTCTCCCTTGTCACTCCACAAAAATCTTCAATTTATTACAGAATAAAACCAACTCATCTCTCAGATATATAGCTCAAACCTCACTTTTGACTAATTCCATGACACATAGAATAATGATTGTACTAATAATGCCTATAAAATATATACCCATCTTTACATAATATTGTTTCAAAGCAGCATATAAATACATTGTTCCCAAGCCTAGTTGCCACTTATATATACTTACAACATGACAATGTTATCTTTGCAGTTATATTACTTATATTGTACCTGAATGTCCATTTCAGTATCAAAATTCATTTCTAAAGCTGAAGAAAAAAGGAAGCAACTGCCCACAACTTCCTATTAGCAAGTCAAAAATTCAAGTCAAAAGGCCTTGATTCACACAAGGAGTTCAGCATTCCTTCTTTTAGAAGTTAAGCCCTCCCTAGCTTCTGCTTCCATTTACCCTTATTGCCTGAATTTGTTCAGCAGAATCTATTAAGTTGAAATAGGAAAGACGTGGCACAAGATATTGTAGAAACTCAACCTCTGTTGCAATGTGTTGTGCAAACTGTGCCATCTCTCTATATCTCTATATGGTTCATGCTGGGCACAGCAGCATGTAACACAAATGTAAGAATTATAGGTTGTTGACTTGCAACTATTCATTTAGTCAGTTTGAAATTACAACAGCACTGAAAAAGGGACTTATGACATAGTTCACACTTATGACTGTTGCAGCATCTCCACATGATAAAAATTCAGACATGTGGCAACTGGAATATATTTCACATTTGCACTGGGAGTCATGTGATCATCACCTTTCATGACCTTCTGACAAACAAAAGTCAACAGAGAAGGCAGATTCACTTTAACCATGTTATTAATTTAACAACTGCAGCTATTCACTTCACAAGTGTGGCGAGAAAGCTTGCAAAATGGCGCAAAACTCACTTAACAACTTGTCTTGCTTAGCAATGGAAATTATGGGCTCAATTTTAAGTCAAGGACTCTGTAGTTTAGGATTTTGTTTGTAAGAATCCAGTTACTAAATATATCTCCTTGACAGCATAAACCAGCCCTTTCCAGGTTAGTTTTCCATTTCTTGGCCTACAATGTTCCAACCAGCAACTGAAAACCACTGTATTGGGGAAAACATGCCCTTTGTTCAAATGTGAGTTTTAGTAGATGCTCATTGACTTCCCTCAGGACAACATTAGCTGAGATGTTAACACATCCTGGCAGTTAGATGAGGGGGAAGGAATTCACACTGCACTGCTAATCCCTGTAACAACCTGGTTTGGAGGGTTTTTTTACTCACTTTGGGCATTGTGTGTCCCACCCCACAATGCTTGATAAAAACAGAACCCAAGGATCCCTGCTGATTGCTCCCACCAAAAGTTAGGCATTCGCCCATCAGTCTTCCAACTTTCAGGAACATAAACAGTCTGTTTTTGAGACTAATGTCCCTTTCCAATTGCTTGTTAGTAGCATCTGCTCCGAATCTGAGAACAATCAGCAGTTGCCTTTTCTGAACACTAAAATAAACAGGTTGGATTTCTGGAAAGTTTTCTGTGACCCGGAGAGTCCCTTCCTGCCTATGTACAGTTATTTCCATCTGGCTTTTTCCACTGTCACCAACAAGTGGACCCCACCCATGAGTGGGATTAGCAGCTTTCCTAGGGCCATCTGTCTGCCCACGCAATGCCCAACGCCGCTTTACGGAAAAGCCACCGTCCTGGCCCTCTAAGTAACCCAACCCACTCGTCCTGGCGAACTTTAGTCCCCAGCACGACAAAAGGGCTGCTTAATAGTAAGCAATGGGCCAACTTTTCCCCTTCAGGCATACTGGGTTGCAATCCCATCAACGTCAGCCGACACGACCCGTTTGAAAAAAAGCTGTGCCCAAGTGTAAAACTAGGTTTCTGCCACTCAAGGATACTTCTTTGCGCTTGCCGGCTTAAGATCGCCACCCCCATAACCATCACCGCTCCGCTCCAACCCACCCTTCCCTATAGCCCACCGGTCTTATGTGCTAAACTGTCGACATATATGCTCGGGATCCTCTCCAAAAGGCACACCTGCACAGACAACTACTTTTATATTCGCTCTGCTGCTGCTGCTGCCGCTGCCACCTCGTTTCGTTGAAACAACCTTTCTTTACTCACGTTCTCCACACTTTTTCACTTTTCTCCCTCGCTATTTCTGCATTTTCTTAAAAACAAATAATGGGCTACTCTGCTATTTCTTGCCTTTCAGATCCTGGAACCTGCGCCAGGTTTCTGCTTACTTTGCAACCTTCCCGCTTTTCTAACCAAAGCTTCTGAATTAGATACGTCCCCTTTAAGAAAACCCAAGCTCCACTACTGGCTTCCTCTCATAGTTTTTAAAATCGTCTTTCCAATGACCTACTTCCGTTTAAAGATAAAAGCCGCAGGGGCTGTTGGGAAGCGTAGTTCCGATTCTGACCCGAAGGTAGTAAAAAGGTTTCATCTTCGTGTTTTGGTTTTTGTGTGTCTTATTAATTCAAGTTTAGGATTTTGCTTAGTTACTAAATCTACCTGTTTGAGAATATAAACCAGCGCTTTCCATTTTGTTGCTTTCCCATTTCTTTGCCTACAGAATTAAATCCTGTTTACACATCTTTCACTTACTCTGCTAGTCGATATTAAAGTCATACTTGTAGCGCTTGATACAAATAGAAAATCTACCATCCCGATTTTGTTAGGACTTAAGATATTGAATTTGGAATATAAAAATCTAAAGGAATGGATGCTCTCATTAAACAGCAAGCCTATATCCTTACAGTAATTTATTGACTGTTTCCTAGTATGATTTGATTGCTTATTGTACCCTATGACTATTATTAAGTGTTATGCCTTATGATTCTTGACTCTTAACGAATTCTTTCTTTTCTTTTATACACAAGACAAATTCCTTGTGTGTCCAGTCACACTTGGCCAATAAAAAATTCTATCTATCTATCTATCTAATTGAAAGTAAATACTGTGGAAAATACTCAGATTTCTGAGTAAATGTCAATCAAAGGAAGCAAGGAATAGACTTCCATCCCCATGTAAGAGAGAAGGAAATGTACTAAAACGAATGAGAGAGCAGGTGGCCATTTAAATAAGGCTTCTTAATAGACACTGCAACTTTTATGTTGTTTTCCTAGGCTATTGGGGAATGTAGTCATGGGAGAAGAGCTCTATATTTTATTTTGGAAGTACTCTTCTCAACAACTCTCTTTTTTAGAGAGGAGCTGAGTATTTTTATTCTGCCAACCCACTCCCTAATCTTAAAAAAAAAAAAGCTGGTACTTAAACATAGACTGCATTGAAATAAAGTGATTCTCTATGTAACACGTAAGAAAACATTTTACTTTAGAATGAACACAGGGATATATTTATGTAGGAGTCACTAGCAACATATAGTGCATTATGCATGAAGGAAAAAAGCATCATCTGTAAATGCTCATAGTGATTTGGTGTTTTGGATCCTATTTTAAATAAAAAGCATATTATACAATCTGTTTCAGAAATGTCACTGGAATGATCTGAATTCTGCATCCTAGCCCTCAAATCTCACAATCAAAAGCATTCTGTTATAAAGTCACTTTAATTGATAATTTTCTTTTTGAGTATTTTCATTTTATTTTCATAACTTCACTTCTAGCATTATTTCCCATTAACTGCAATAGTAATCTTGTAATATAGTCGTTACAATAATTTATTTTGATTCAAGACTATCCTTAGCTTTAAAAAGCTTTGAATACATTACAGCATAACCTTTTGCAGACTATAAACCAACTTTATTAGACATATGAAATATTATAATAGTTTAAGATGTCACATGGGTGTCCAACCTTTTGGCTTGCCTAGGCCTCATTAAGAGGAATTTCTTGGGCCACATATATAATACAGTGAATATATATATAAATAACAAATTTCCTTTATTGTTTAATATTTTTATTATATTGTGAGGGGTCATATTACTAACTTACCAGGCCACATGCAGGATGTAGGCTGTAGGTTGAGCACACTTGTTTAAGAGGATACAGATACATTCATTAGTTTAATTTACTTTATTGTCATTGCACCTTGTACAATGAAATTAAATACCATCTTCAGTATACATTATGACTATGAAAATAAACACAAACACACGCCCTTCACATTCTATACATTGAATTCATGAGATTAAGTGGGATAGAAAAAAAGAACAAGGAGTGAGGGGAATGGATTGTTGATAGGTCCAATGATAATAACTTTATTGACAGTAGCCACCCATGACTATTTAAAATATACTCTTTCATAACAAATTGATCAAATGTCTATACACCAATGTACAGAGTATAAGGAATAAACAGGATGAATTAAAAATTCAAGTAAATTAGGGCAGATATGATATTGTTGCCATTACAGAAACTTGGTGGGATGAAACCCACAAATGGAACATACAGCTAAAGGGATTTAAATTATTTAAAAGAAATAGACCAAATAAAAGAGGAGGTGGAGTTGCACTATATATAAGAAATAACTACATATCTTCAGAAATAGAGCACAACAATGAAAATGCATTGAATGCATTTGGGTCAATGTAAAAGGGGGAAAAATGACGTTGCCATAGGTGTATATGATAGGCCACTCTACCAAACAAAGGAAATAGATGAACTTTTTGCCAGTCAGTTAACTAAGGTATGTAGGAAGCACATCACAATTAGTAATGGGGAATTTTAACTACCCTGACATCAATGGGAGATAAACTCTGCACGAGATGGAAGATCAAACAAGTTCCTGACAAACCTAACAGAAAAATTTGTTTCCCAAAAAGTAGAGAAAGGAACAAGGGGATCAGTCATATTGGACTTAATTCTCATTAACAGAGATTAAATGATAGAAGGTGTTGAAGCTATAGGAATCTTGGGGGGGGGGGAGTGATCATGCAATATTAGAATTCAACATTATGCAAGCACAAACAATAGCACAGTGAAACTAGAGTCTTGGATTTTAAGAGAGCTAATTTCAATAAACTTAGTACTTGGGAAAGATTTCATGAATGAGAATCCTCAAGGGGAAAACAACTCAAGAATCTTGGGAAATTTTGAAAAGTGAGATTATAAAAGCCCAGTCTATCGCAATAGCAATAAAGAAGAAAAATAACAACTCTCAAAAGAAACTAGCATGGCTGCATAAAGAACTCTCTGATAAAATGAAAGACAAAGGACTGGTATAAAAAGTGGAAAGGGGCACATAACTAAGCCAGAATATTAGCAAATAGTCCGAGTCTGCGGCTCATAATGAACAAGGCTTGTGACAAAAGTAAAAAAAAAAAAAAAGCTTTGAACATGTTTTTTTTAAAAGTCAAGGAAACAATTGGTCCATTGGTGGAAGAAAGTGGCAAGATCGTGACAAAGCAGGACTACTTAATTCATTTTTTGCATCTGTCTTTATACAAAAGGAAAAAATCCAACCTAGCAAAAAGAGCACTACAAAAAACAGATTAGGACCACAAGTCAAACTAGGGGAGAACATGGTAAGTGGGCACCTGTCCACCTTAGATGAGTTCAAATCATCAGGACCAGATAGGTTATACCTCAAGGTTCTGAACGAACTGGAAGACATGATCTCAGAACCATTGAAGTATATCTTTCAAAGATCCTGGAGCACCAGGGAACTGCCAGAGGACTGGAAAAGAGCTGATGTGGTTCCTATCTTCAAAAAAGGGGAAAAATAGATTCAGGAAACACAGACCTATCAGCCTGACCTCAATTCCAGGGAAGATTTGAAAAAGAGACTCAAACAATAAATCAGCCAACACCTAGAAGCAAACAAAGTAATAAGCAAAAGCCAACATGGGTTTGTCAAAAACAGATCATACCAGACTAATCTTATTGCATTCTTTGACAAAGTGACAAAATTAGTAGACCAGAGGAATGCTGTCAACATAATTTATTTGGACTTCAGTAAGGCTTTTGATAAAGTAGACCATAACCTATTACTTGATAAGATAGAAAAATGTTAGATAGCATCACTATCAGATGGATTTGTACCTGACCAGCCACACTCAACATATAGTCCTCAATGAAATAATCTACATGGAGAGAAGTAGGCAGTGGGATGCCCCAAGGCTGTTTTAGGCCCAGTACTCTTCAATATCTTCATCAATGATTTGGACGAGGGGATGGATGGGGAATAACCAACACTCTAGAAGATAGCCTTAAGATACAGAAGGATCTTGATAGATCTAACAAAATGAAATTCAATGGTGAAAAAAGTAAACTTGTATATTGAGGTAAGAAAAACATAATGCACAGGTACAGTATGTGTGGTACCTTGCTAAATAGTATGTATATATATGGAAGATGTCTTGATGTTTTTATGTTTTGTTTGTCTATGTTTGTTTTAAAAACCAATAAAAAAGAAAACAAAAAAAGAAAAAAGAAAAGAAAAACATAATGCACAGGTACAGTATATGTGGTACCTTGCTCAATAGCAGTAACTGTGAGGGATCTTGGAGTCCTAGTGGACAATTATTTAAATATGAGCCAGCAGTGTGCAGCAACTGCCAAAAAAGCCAACATAGTTCTAGGCTGCATAATCAGAAGGATAGAATCAAGATCACATGAAGTGTTAATACCACTTTATAATGCCTTGGTAAGGCCACACTTGGAATATTGCATCCAGTTTTGATGTAAAAAAAGATGTTGAGACTCTAGAAAGAGTGCAGAGAAGAGCAACAAAGATGATTAGGGGACTGGAGGTTAAAACACGAAGAATGATTGCTGGAATTGGGTATGTCTAGTTTGATGAAAAGGACTAGGGGATGATATGATAGCAGTGTTCTAATATCTCAGGGGCTGCCACAAAGAAGAGGGAGTCAAAGCACCTGAAGGTAGGACAAGAAGCAATGGGTATAAATTAATCAAGGAGAGAAGCAACCTAGAACTAAGGAGAAATTTCCTGACAGTTAGAACAATTAATCAGTGGAACAACTTGCCTCCAGAAGTTTTAAATGCTCCAACACTGGACGTTTTTAAGAAGAGATTGCATTAACCATTTGTCTGAAATGGTATAGGGTTTCCTGCCTAAGCAGGGGATTGGACTAGAAGACCTCAAAGGTCCCTTCCAACTCTGTTATTCTATTCTATAATAAACGTAGAATTATGCAAAAGAGACTCAAGGTAGATGATATATATGAAAGTTTGTTCATTGAACTAGAACACTTCTCATGAATGAAGGTGAATATACACGTCCCATTGCAAGATCCAATCTGGGATGGTAACTGGGACCAGTAGTTTAGTCTTCCGAGCTTTCAGACTCATGCTAGAGCCCATCTTCAGGGGCGGGGATGAAGATG